GAAATCGCCACCCCCAGCCCCACTCCCACCCCCATCCCCATCCCGTATCTATTACACACTAGATCTCCTGATCACTTATTCGCATTCTAGCATACACACCACCTCTATCTATGGCTCCCACGAAATCTAGTCTAGTTGGAAAAACACAACTCATATTATATCGTTCAAAGCGTTTTCTTTGCCAGTGTCCCAGTTTTCCACACCCAAAGCATTTACTCTGTCTGTTGATGTTCACTCGAAGTTCAACCACCTCCTCGTGAAGATTGTCCACTTCTTTTTTCTAGTTATTTATCTCTGGTGACTCGACCACAGCTACTGTTGTACCCATTAGCTGTCTGGTCACCTTGGCCATCTCACTAATATTCATGAGTCGTGCTGCATCGACTAGTCATAGCTGCTGGGGGATGGCATTCGGGACACTCTCTGTGAACTGTGCAGCCAGTAACTGCTCCTGGGAGCCATCATCCAGAGTGGAAGTGCTCGTGAAGAAGTAGTGTCAACTTACGATGGAATGCCTTGGAAATTTCAAGAAGCACTACATGGACTAACTGATGATGGTTATGCACAGTTGCCATGATATTTAAGAAGTATAGAAGATAGGCTTTACACCAACTTGATCTTAAGGACCCATGTTGACTTGATGTAACAGTGCTGGTAATGAGCATGTATTGAGGAATCCTATGTTTATTTCTTTTTCTTCATAATTCGAGGCATTATAGGCCTAGTATTTATCGATTTGCCTGTAACTTTGGCTGCAATCTCGTAGTCGTCGTTTTAGATTTAACCAGGAGAGGATGACATGAGTAGTTTTAGGCCCCTCGCATCAATAAACAGAGTTCGTTAGCCAGACTAAAGTGATCTAAAGTTCGGGCGTCCATTGATGAGCCATGAGATTGATAAATACAATAGGATGTGATATAATCATTCATATCTTCTAAATCCCTAGAACGATGTATTAAGTTAGTGTTTTTAATTATCCTAACCTCTACTGCATAGTTTGTCTTTCTGATGGCAGCATTAAGCATTTATTTAAGCATCAAGCAATGATAGTCACCCTTGTACGGAAGTCTAATCAGTACTTCTTTCTTTGAAGCACAGAATACTGTAAGTTCACATTCTCTAACGACTTTCCACCGGCAAATAAATCTTTCCGATAATTATCCTCAAACTATGTTTCGGTCAGTAACTGCATCGTTTACTGTCAACTGTTTTCTGAATATTTTCGTTAGTTCTTAATGAATAAGCACCTCACCAAGAGCTGCTTCTATTGACCTTGACAGAAACTGTGGTAACTTAGATATTGTCCTATCCATTTAGGTTTCCTATAATCTAATCGTTTTATTTATCCACCACAGTAGCGACTAGTCTGTATGTTTAGGAAAGTCAGGCAATTATTTTTGACGTCAACACTTTGTAAGGACATCTCCTATAGAAAAGATCTTCATAAGTAAGTCCCTTAGATAAATTTCCCTTGTTTGGTCTATATGTTGTGATAATATCAAAGGAAAGTGCGTATGTGATGATATTTTTCATAAAATATATTGCAAATTCATTTCACGACTCAAACAATTTTTTTCTTATTAATTAGTCGAAGTTTATTGAGGGAACTAGTTGCTTTAAAGATTTTCTTGATACTTTTAGATACCTTCATAGTTTCCAGAAAGAAAAATGAGACACTTTTTGCTGAAATTCAATAGGAATGCTTAAACTCACTATAAGGATAACAATGTTAGTGGACATATTTATTAGCTTACTGTTTCATTGTATTAGGAAAAAAATGGTTATTTTCCTTCTGTAACATTTTTAATGGCTCCAGTAGTAAGATAAGAGATACGTCAGTAATTTTATGTGATGTAACTGGATAAAATATGTTTTTCAACCTCGTTATTAGTAAGAAATTTTAAATAAATTAGTTAACTTACAAAGTTATAATTTCGATTGATTTGAAATCAGTGGAATTAACTTTGTTACTTGTTTACTTATAAGTAGGCAAACTGTTAAAACATATTTTTGAGGGGACAGTTGCTTAGAGTAATCACATTCTCGCAGCATTCTCAACAATCTTAGGCTTTATATGTTAAACATACCAATATGTTATAGGAAATTCCAAGAAAACAACTGAGATTTAAATAAATATTTCATGCATTAAATTCTGTTCCGGGAATTGAAAAGAAAAGGGATGATCAGTTTTAGATAATACAATTAAAACAATATATTTAGTTACCTTGTCATCAGCTACGTACATACTATTCAAATAAATTATCAGCAAAGAAATAAGTGTCAGCACAATTTGACCTTGGAGACTGTCTGATTCAGTAATAGAATAATCAGGTGGATAGAAGTGGAGATGTGAGATACTCTATCGGGAAATGAGTTGGCAGTTTTACGAGATTTTAAGGTGATAATTGAAGAACAATCAGGAAAACAAAATGATCATCAAAGATGACGGAAAACTAGTAAAGAAGAAATAAGTTATAAAAGATAGATTTTGACTAAAATCGTTGAAAATTACTCACCGTTAAAATGGTGAAAGAAATTATGAGGGTTACGTGCATGACGTGGATGGCGGAATTGTGATTACGGTAATTTGTTACCGAAGTAGTTAGGAAACAGCCATTATCTTCTTGAGAGACCAAAGGTCAGGTCAACCTCTGGGAAGTCCGGTCAGTTAAAACCACTCTGTTTACTGATTATTCTAAACTTAACCTCAGTGTTTAACTTCATAACAAGCGTCTAGTATGTATCATGTTAGTGAACCTTAAGGCTGTCCAGTCCTCTGGGATGTTAGCTTCTATGTATGTGTTTGATGAAGTGAATTAAGGGTCATCTTTCAGTTCTGTTGATGCACAAGATTCGACATTTACAAGTAAATTGGCAATTGACACAAATTAGTTTCCTATCCATGTTCTTCTACACTATTGAACAATGTGTCTCATACAAGGATACTAGTTTTACAGCTGCGAGCGTTGTACCGAATTCCAGTTTTTGCCTCATCCTCTCTTCTACCTTACTAATTTTTTATGTATGAGTTATCCAGTTTTCGATCTTAGATCATGTAGACATTTAGTTTTTTTCTGATAATTTATTTGAAGAGTCTACATAACAGAGGAGGTGACAAAATATAAAGGTGCTTTTGTATTCCATCTGACTGATCATTATTTCCCCTTCACACAAAAATGTTCCTTAAAGTGTTCAGAAGGGTGAATAGTGTCATGCAATGAAGTAGTTGTCATTGGTAAGCGGAATCAATATGAAATCGCATTAAAAGTGTATTGAGGTTAACTCAGGTGGTACGTGAATTGGAACTAGCTACTCTTATGGAGTCAGTTGCCATAATTGTACACTGATGACTCTCCCTAAACACATAAAACTATATCTTCCTGTATAATGGGATAGAAGACAGGCGGGCTTCCTCTCGATTGCTTCCAACCAACAAACATCCATTAAGAGGGGAAATGTTTGAGGCTTCATACAGATAAAGCTAAATGAGACAAGTCATACTGTGGACATGAATTCAGTTTTCAATATTTTCGATATTAGTGATGGATAGTGGCTACCATTTGCATTACCTCCTATTTGAGACTCATCAGATGGAAATATCTGCTTTCCACTAAGTGATGTTATCCCCACTAGGACTCAAACCTAGGACAAGTTACTTCAAGCACCAGAGAGTTATCCACTGAGTCACTGAGCCACAGTGTTCACTCCTTGTTTGACGGGTAAATCATATATTTCTTGATGTTGCAGCTTGTAAGTCTCCGTCTTAGTAGGAACGACAGTCAGCAAAAGCATGTAAATCCGGCTGAAGAGCCCCAAGTAGGACGACGTACGCATTCTGAGTTTCGCTGCCACCACCATACGTCTTTACTATCAAATTACGATTACAGGCAATATCAAGGCCCATATATCATTACAGACCGACCAATTCTGTTCAGTCAGCGATGAGTTGTTTCTGTTGCATTTATTTTGTGTTGACTAGACAAACAAAGACTACTCCACTAAGTTAGTTTCATAGCTGTCTCTCTGTTCATCAAAGCATTAGGCCAAGGTATATTAAGCTTTCTAAGCATATAAATTTGTCTTAATCCAAGATTGGTAGATCGTAATAAGATCAGGAATCTAGAAAAAAGCTAGGCTATGGCTGTGCATGCAGTTACACGCAACTATACAATTGGATGGACAGAGCGAAAGTCTTTAAAGCTAACTTTATGAGGTGGAGAGAGAGACTGAAGACCGAGTCTCTCTTTATCGAATCAACACCAATAATATACAAAAAGAACAAGTGAACAACTGTTTCGGATCTTCGGGAGATCCTACGGCTTGTATCACGAAGATGGTCAGAGAATTATGACGATATAGACCACGTGACTGAGCAACTATTTCAGATGCAACAAAAATCTGACTCGTTTTAGGGTTGGGGCCAGAAGTCTACTGGTTACGAGGCTGGCACACTATCGACTGAGCTATGGGTCTTGTAGCTCCAGGTGAAATCAATAAATAAATCCCCACAAACCTCCGAATTGAATCGCTCTATAGTCCTTATTAGTTACTTGCTTCTAGATGAGATTCCTGAAGTTTCAAGGCGAATTCGTGACGGTGGAGCAAATCGAGTCGGACACGGAGACAGTTACTCAACGACAGTGTTAGATAGAAGTCACGCTACACTATAAACTGACAGAAGCAGGAAAATTGGATAGTTGGATTTCGACCCAGTAGTTCCTTGGCAACATGGTCAGCTCGGAATCTAAATGTCATAGGTTTGGTCACAGATGGGGTCATGGATGCAAACCACTGAGGAGTCCCATACTAGGACGAAACAGCTGTCCAGTGCTGTCAGGTTTCCAATATTTCGCCAAGTGATGTCAGTTCATGATAAGTACCAACCTGAAATCTGAAGAATTATTGATTAGGACCATAGATTTTTACCGTGTAGATGACTTTTAAAACTTTATTTTCTTTTAGAAAAAGTTAATAAATTAACTGAACAACAGTCTCTTTTCTTATTTTAACACATTTGACTGATAAGTACAATTTACACTGATAAGATTACAATAGTTGGATTTTTCGTCTGAAAGACACAAGTACGATCGTGTATCAGGCATTTCTTCTATTTTATTCATCTCTTGATTTTTCTGAGTTGTATACTCATAGTTATTAATGATACTAAGATTTTTGTCAATTATATCATCGTTATTATTATTACTATTATTGTCATTATTAAATCCATATGTATAATACATACGTTGGTCATGATAGTCAGAACAATAATGAAGGTCATTCCTCTCGTTGTTATGGTTACCTTGTTCAACATTGAAATAATCAGTTGTCCAATTATCATATATATTTGGATTTGAATTAATACATGATGAATGTTGATATGATGATCCAGGATATAAAATTGATGATTGATTATATTCTAAACTTTGAGCATTTTCTATAGTAAAGTTAAAATTTTCATTAATACTATTATAGTCTGTACAGCATTGTTGAACATTGAATGATTGGAAAGTCTCCTGTAAAGAACAGCAACTTGTTAGGTCAATTTTTTCAATTTGTGATTCATGTTTTATAATTTGTAAATGTTGTTTTGTTGATTTATGCTTCGTTTTACGTTTGTTATGATTAAGTTGATTGATACTTTTCTTCAATGAATTAGTGTAATGGTCATTAGTAATATAAAGTTTATGATCAAGTTGATTATTTGTGTCTGTTAGTTCAGAAGATTTATCACGTTGTCTATGATTTTTAAACCAATTGCTTACCTAAAATACAAATTAACATGGAAGGAAGTTGACTAAAAGCAACAAGACAATGTTCGGCAAATTATGTATGACTAGGAGATAGCCTAATAATACGTTTACACTTTCAAGTAGAATATCTTGCCTTCATTACTGATTGGTTAGTCATTCCTTACAAGCTAGCCGGTTATATTCAACTAGTCTGGGAGTATTTCCTTTAAGTTAGACTCTGAATAGACAAATTAGTTAATCAATGTAGGAAGAAGTTAGTTCCAGTTATCTAATTGAGTAGTTTCTTAATATTTTCATCACTTCCCCCAATCAGTTTTGCAAGCTTACTTTAGATGTTGTCACTGTCTTGCACCATAATATTGTTTCTAGTTTAGAGAAAGGTATTAAGCGTACTTGTTGGACCTTCTTGGATTACTCATCAGCCTTTGACTCTGTTCCTAAACCAATCTTGGTAAATAAGCTTTCCATGGATCAGTATGAGCCATAGGTTACGAAGTAAATGTATTCTTATTTTGCTGAAAAGAAACAGTATACTGTCTACGAAGGAGGGCGATCCACTTCATCGCTTACTCAAGCTGGTGTGTCTCAAGGTGCTGTACTTTCTCCTTTTCTGTTTTCGTTCTTTTTGACGATTTGCCTTATTCTGTTGAAACTAAGTATGCTGATGACCTGATGATCTGTATTCCAGTTAATTCTCACTTAGATTGCTCTGAATTAAATGGATTCTTGTCTGTGATTGACCAATGGTCTCTCTCAAATGGTTTCAAGTTAAACCCTTCTAAATGTCAGACTGTTCATTTTAGCCTCAGGCGTAAACAAGACTTGTACGGGCTGCTTGAGTCTCATGACGTCTGTTGCATCAAGTGTCAACTATCTTGGATTAAGTTTTACTTCTGATCTTTGTCGGTTGTCTCATATCTTATTGACTTGTAAAAAAATCTTTCGTTGAACGTATTACATTAAGAAACTGAGGTGGTCTGGTATAACTCAACCTTTACTTTTATAACTTATTTGTTCCTGCATTTTGATTATTCTTCTCTATTGTTCCCCGTTGATCTTTCTTGGTCTACTAAACAAGGACTATGTTATATTGTGTAGGGCATTGAAAGCTGTCAGGAGGGTGAGTGTTGTGCCTCTGACCCAACTGATTAACACTGTAGTTGATACACATTCAAATTATAGCAAGCAATTAGCTACAGTAGTTTTAACTGGTACTGAGCATCCATTTCATTCACAGCTATCTCCTTGTATCCTCTCAGGAGGGGGACAAAAGGAAACGACATAAAACTGTAAGCGCTCGCACAGTCAAGTACAAGAATTGACTGTACCTTACCCAGCACGCATATTATGTGAGGAAAAACGTGTTACAATAGAACTCATATATGACAGTTAACAATCTCATTTCAATAATTTGATTAACAATGTAAAACTTTACTCGTTATTAATATTCTTTACATAACTTGAATTTTTATAATAACACAATTCGAACTGTTGTCTAGGTATATATATATATATATATATATATATATATATATATATATATATATATATATAATTTGTTATTGTCGCAATACATTACACTAAGAATTCCAAATTGCATCACAAATTGTTTAGAATAAAGTGAATATTTTTATCATTATTACTATTTACTAATATTTGCCTTAATATTTAGTAGTATTAATCGTTTAACTGTAGAATTTGTAATGAGACTTTAGAATCTCGCCATTCCCAAGTGACTCTGAGATGGCATCGCATGTGCCAGTAAAAAAACGGATACTTCTTTTCAATTTTTACCGTAAAAATGACAAGAAATTAAAATACTTATCCTGAGGTAGTATTCATCACGGACTGACATCAGATGAAGAACCACGGGGAAACTGGGAGCACTGGACAGCTGTTCTGTACTACTATAGGACCCGTCAGCAGCACACAGCCGCGACCCGGTCGGGGGTCGAACTCAGGACCTTTAGGTTTCATAGAGAACGCGCTAACCACTTAGCCACTGGGTTAGAGTTCAGCGGTTCACGGTTTCCTACTTCTGTCAAGTCACGATTTAATACATATGCAATGAAAGCTACTTATTAGAATGTAAATAAGTAATATATATAGCAATGTCAAAAGTTACAACAATGAATGCGATGCATCAGGACTGCGGGGGGGGGGGGAATGACATGCTGAACAAGTGATGGTTTGCAAAGTGGAAAAATTACTGGCGCGGAATCCTGCTCCATCCCTGTCCAACCCAAGCAAAATATAAAGCCGCACCATCCTGGAGAGACTAAACAATGCACTGGATTCAAAATTATCACCGGAACAGGCTGGTTGGCTTCAGGAAAAACAAATCATGTGCGGATCAAATTGAAACGCTACTCTACGCGTCATCATAGAACAGAGCATAGAATAGCAGTCAACTCTCCACCTCACCTCAACTTCATCCACTTTGAAAAGGCCTTCCTTGGATGGCGTCGACCGAAAAGTAATTTGGCAGTTGCTTCAACAATACGGAGTGAGACAAATTTTTATCAACTTCATTCAACAGCAGCTATATGCTATATAATGCTACATGCCAAATGATTGACAATGAAAAGCTCAGTGATGCCTTTGAAGTGAAGTGAAGAGAAGAGTAAGGCAAGGTTGGTGCCTACTATCACTCACCGATAATCTTCCTGATTGTGGTCGACTGAACTGGACTGGTCGGGTTCATGGAACAAACTGTGAGGAGCGAGAAGATGGACATACACTGGCTGGACTGATGGAAAGACCCTAGAAGATTTGGATTTCGCCGGTGATGATTTATGTCTAATGTCGCGCAAGCTCAAAGATCTGCAGGTGAAAACCAACAAGTTGGCAGAAGAGGCCAGGCACCGAAGGAAGTTGTCTCTCTCACCTACCCAGGCAAGGCAGCATCGTTTCAACTACAGGTGGCGGCAACAGCACAGATGAGGATGTCAAAGCCAGGATCAGAAAAGCAAGACAGGTCTTCATTGATCTGAAATCAGTGTGGAGATCTACTCCACTCCACTCAGCATTTAAAAAAAATCCGGATTTTCAACACTAATATCAAGTATGTCAGTGCTTCTGTGTGGTGGTTGAGAGACTTGGCGAGTCACGAAAAGCATTTCCAACAAACTACAGACATGCATCACATCAACAGCTGCCACCTACGCTCACTCGATAGTGAAGATCAAATGGCTAGAATAATAAGAATAAGAAACAAGGAACTCTGGCCCGGCAATGAACCAACCAACTAAGAAGATATCGCCCAACAAATACGCAGAAGAAAGTGGAGATGGATTAGATTGGGCATACACTGAGAAGGCCGAATGGGGACATCATGTGCCAGGCCAGGGCAGGGCAGGCCCTCAAAAAGAATCCGAAGGGGAAACGCGAGTTGGGCGCCTGAGGGTGACACGGACCTCGTAGCTCAGTTAGTAAAGTATCCGCCTTGAAACCCTGCGGTCGGTGGCTAGAATCTGAGTGTGGTCCAAATTTTCATTTCACCTTCGATCATCACCAGTATCAATACTAGTTTGCCAAACTACGTTATCTCAAGCAGTCAAATGATAACAATGGAATTTCATTCCAGTCTGTTTACTCGAAATGTCATGGTGAAGAAACAGTATCTTTACTGCATAACATTGTTTCGGACACAATTTATTGTCAATATTCATATCAGGTAATGCTACAATTTTGAGACAGAGTTTGTATAATTGTACTGACTTTAGTAACTAACAGAGGAATCCAGGATGTGCGTTTTGTTCTATTTGGGACTCGTCAGCCGGATGTACCTGCACCACAGTTAGTGATGTTGCTCTTATCGAGGCTCGAACACAGTACCCTTCACTTCAAACGCTAGAGCGTTATCCACTAGGCCACTAACGCAGAGGTATAGCCAGCCGTTTTTATAAATTTCTTATCTTATTAGGATCTACTAATCTTGATTTAGTTAAGCTTTTGTGCCTTGTCATTCTAATCGACCCTGCTCGACTACTTTGACATATGTATCTGACCTCGCAATCATTGGAAGGGATTTGATAAACCAAATTATTTTGCTTAGTTGCATCAATAAGATCTTTTAACCTACAGAGGTTGTTTCTAATCGAGTCCCAGCCATGTTAAGCATTCTTTGTAATACTTCCGAGATACCTTCTTTGTGTGGTCACACAGTAGAGGCTTTGAACTCTCTCAACCCTGTCACTATTATTACTATTAGTAGTAGAATTATTATTAATAACACCTGTATTACTACTACTACTACTGCTAATATTTTTCTTTCGATTTGTTATGAATTTACTTATAAATTTTGGTGGGTAATTATTGAGACACAAGGTATTCTTGATGTGTCTAATTTCTTGTCATAGATTTTCTGGCCTACTGGTAAGCTTCTTCGCCCTATCACTCAGGCATTTAAGTAAGCCTACTTGAACTGAGATGGGGTGAGATGACGTGAAGTCTAAGTAGTGATGAGATTGGGAAGGTTTCACATAGATACAACTCTCTAAACTTCCATCTTGTTTTCGTTTAATCTTGCAGTCCAACATCGCCAGTGCACCTTCACGTTCTAAGTCACAGGTAAAGGGGATTTCATTCACTACTGAACGTGCCAAGAAACTTCTGATTTGTTCTGATTTCAGTACTGTAAATGTATCATCAACATATCGGAACCATATCTTTGGAGTAGGACTACTTGTAGGAAGGGCCATTTGTTCCCGACTATCCATAAATATGTCTACGACGATAAGGAATATTGATAGCTATAGCTCTGCACGTAATTACACACAATCACACAGTAGAGTGGGATAGAGCAATAGTGTTAAGAACTTAGTTGGATGGAGAGAGAGAGAGAGAGAGAGAGAGAGAGAGAGAGAGAAAGAAAGAAAGAAAGAACTGAATCTTTATTTATCTAGTCAATACCAAATACATGCAATAGAAATGATTCTACACCTGTCCCAGATATTTGGAAAATTCTACTACCTTTGTCATCACAGAGAATGAGAGAAAATTAGGACAGTATAAACTCTATCTCAAAGTTGTGGAGTTACCTGATTTGAATATGGACAATAAATTGTGTCCGAAACAATGTTATACAGTAAATGATATTGTTTCTCCACTGCATGACATTTCTGGTAAACAGACTAGGTTAGAATTACAGTCCACCAAAATGCTCAAGTTTTGCCCATATATTAATAAATAAAGGAACTTGAAAGCAGAGATGAATGGTAGAGAGTAAGTATACGGCATGCATATTTAGTGGATATATTGTAAATAAGAGAAATATTACTGAACTATGATAAAGATTATTTATGATGGGGAATTTGAGTTTACACTAGGCAAGATGCTGGTCATGTTGGTTAGTGTGATCATGAAGAGTGTATCACCTTCCAAAAAAAAACTACTCAACGAGTCGTAAGGACTATACTACTGAATAAAATGAGTAGTAAGAAGGCAATTAGGTTTATCTTCTAATTTCACTATGCAGATAAAAATGATCTAAACATCAATGTTGAGATGTTGTTCAGTACTATACTTCATTGGTTTATACCTACCCTTTTATATCACAGATCATACTTTGTGATCTCGTGAAATTTTTTTCTTTATTGTTTGAACTGTCAGACACCTCTATTATTTCGCTGATAATTTCAAGGATTCGGCTTGTGGGAAGGTAATTACCACTCACTAATGTCAATTCAAGTACAAGTAACAGCTTAGGGATTATGAATTTTGAAGTACCCTGTTGTTTACACTTTTAACCAAGTTAATAGATACAAATGTTCATGTTGATCAGTCTAAGTGGGATGGCTGCGGTTTGACAAACTGGTATTAATAATATGGGTTAATGATTGAAAGTGAAATGGAAATCCCTATAGTGGCAAGATTTGAACACGTGATTAGTAACCAGGTGACGTAAATCAGCTAGTACAGTACCAGACCGATAATCTGAAGGCTATCTGTTTGAATCCCGTTAAAATTCAAATTTTTATTCCCTCTTCAATCATCATACCTTTTGGCAGGCATATCAGTTTAGCTTGACTTTTCATTCTGTTCTCTGCAATGTTTTCAACCTGGCTTTACGACTGCCCATAAGCTTTCATTTCTTTCTCACAACATCTTCGTCCTCCTTGTAAATTTGAATTATCTACATGAAAAAATGAGACCTTCATGTTTATCGCCATCCATATGAGTAAGCAATTATTGACATTAAAATGACTGAGGACAATGGTTATTCTGATGATAGGATTTCTCGCGAAGTGATATGATTCTCGTTTACACTTTGTCTGACTTATATATATTTTCAAACCTTCCAGGTTTATCAGTCACCTTAACACAGTCCACTCATACAAAAAAGACAGATTATTATATTATTACATTACTTCTGATAAACATGAACACAATACATCAGTTGTTAACTTGTACTCTGTTCAATGGGGTTAGAACTATGTAAAACTGGGTGACTAGTTTGGAAGTGGTTTACAGATTTCATGGTCCATGTTGACTTTCGCCACAACTGAGTAATTTCTCGACTGCCCAACAGTGGTGTCAGCAGTGTTCCCCTTGAAAGTCACTCAACCAAAACTATAAGATATGTCACTAACTAACGAAATATGCTATTAGTACTGAACAACTTCGGTCGTTGGAAACCTCTCAGACTGATCTGTAGATTTTAGCAGGCAGATTAGAATGATCTGAAGACTGAATGGTTAGTTAGTTTGTTTCTGACCGAGTTCATTAGCGTTGTACTCGGATACTTTTGTGTCACAGATTACACGTTATATAACCTTGACAGAGCAGTTGAAAAGCTACTGAACTGTGGGAAATTTGCAATTTGGAAATCATCTTATTTAAGTTAGACCAGATTTAGTTTGTCTGAACAATTCGGTTTTATTGCCTTGACTCCAAGCCAGTAAAACAACCGCCTAGTATTTAAATCACTCTAATCTGGTTAGCAAAATCTACAGATCAGCTTCATTGGTCTCCAACTACCTATTTTGTTCACTAATATATTTTCATATAATATTCATATGCAACCAAATTTATTCCACTCCTTTAATTCTTGGACGTCTCGTCATCAAAGCAGACAACTCAATCAACATTAACTTTTCAATGAAGTTAAGGAAAGTTAGAGAGTTCGAATAACACCCATATTATTATAAAACAAACAAACGAATGTCTACTTCAGAGATAAAGAGAGAGAGAGAGAGAGAGAAAATGTATACCTGAGTAAAAGATAATCCAGTGTCCAAAGCAATTTTATACTTTTCAGTTGAATTAGGATATTGATTTTGTCGATAATATTCAATCAGTTGACATCGAACATTACGTTTAAAACAATAGATTATCTCTTCACCATCCCATATTGTATACGGTAATGGATACTTTCTACGGATACGATATTTATCGACAGCTGTTAATGGTTTATCACGTGATAATTGTACTTCTGCGTAATGTGTATTATACCATAATTGTTGAAGTGTTGACTGATGAATTGTATTGAAATGATTCGATTTTAATAAATGATATACTAAAGTATAGTTTTTATCTTGATAAGATAATATTGCTAAAGCTTTAATAATTGACTGACGTGATTCAAACACTTGTTTCAGTGTTATACTTTCAGACTGTTTTATCTGATAACACTTTTGATAATGATGATGATTATAATCAGATGAGAATTTGTCTGCTTCATAAGTTAACCAAAGTTTTGGAATTCTGTTCAGTAGATGACGAAGTGATCCAATCTGATTGGTGCTCACCAACACTTCACACATACATCCTACCTAAAAATGATTAGAAAAGAAATAATAAAGGCATTTCTGATTGTTGTAAAGGTGGATAGTGGCTAGCAGTGGAATCCAGGATGCGCATTCCGTCTTATTTGGGACTATCCATCTTTACTATAACTAGAACACAGGTATATCGAGGCATCCACACAGGATATATATATACCAATAGACACCAGTCAATTCAAGTTGTGATTCATCGTAGACTGACATCAATTGGAGGAACAAAGGAAACCTGGGAACACTGGACAGCTGTTTCGTCCTAGTATGGGACTCCTCAGCAGTGCGCACTCACGACCCCGCCAGGGATCGAACCCGCGACCTTCAGGTTCCGCGGCCGGCGCGTTACTATTGAGCCAGTGGGTCTGAATCCAGTGCTACATATTTCCAACTTCTGGCCGCGGAACCTGAAGGTAGCGGGTTCGATCCCTGCTGGTGGGGTCGTGGGTGCGCACTGCTGAGGAGTCCCATACTAGGACGAAACAGCTGTCCAGTGCTCCCAGGTTTCCTTCGTTCCTCCAACTGATGTCAGTCTACGATGAATAACAACTTGAAATATTTCCAAATCTCCACAACTCCCTCAAAAAAGAAAAAACTCGACCGATTAATTCAGTCCAGTCAACGACGGTGTAATACAAGCAATAACACTAAAACTGTACCCGTAGCACAAGAAGTGGCTATTGTGGCTCGGTGGTGCTGTGGATAACTCTCTGGTCCTAACCCCCTAGTCCGAATCCCGGTGGAAACAACAGCACTCACTGGGAGGCAGGTTCATCCAGCTGATGAGTCCCAAATAGGACCAAATGCGCATCCTCGATTCCGCTGCTAGCCACTATCCCTCTTTACTATAACTAGAACACAAGTATATCCAGGCATCCACACAGGATTCCATTTGCCAATAGAAACCGACCAGTTCTGCCCACTCAACGTTGTTTTCAGAACCCTTAAATAATTTATTCTGTAACACACAGGATGAGTACAGCAATGCCTAACGTTGTATAAGACTCGATATTGTTATTAGAATCTCATAATTGGTGTAGTGAAGACCTAATTTGTTAAGCAAATGTCGAAGACCTTGAAGTTATCATCGTTTCTCATCACTTTCAGTTTATTCCACTTCATACTTCTTGACTCCTTCTTCTTTTTGTTCATCATACTGACAGTAGTGTAATTTGAGGTTGATGAAGATTTTATTTTAAATCAAGAACCTAGGAGTACTGGAAAATTGTTTCGTCCTAGCACAGGACTTCTCAGAAGTATGGATGAAATAGCTAACCAGAGCTCTCAGGTTCTCAGTAGTTCTCTAATGAATATCAGTCAGTGATGAATACTGCCTTAATGATAATGACAATGCCAATTTTCTTCACAAAATCTCAGGTGATAGGATGATAAGATAACTCATATATATATATATATATATATATATATATATATATATATATATATATATATATATATATATATATATATATATATATATATAGCTTTAATCAGAGTAATACTAAATCCCACTGTTTATTCAACGGCCAACAGGAATTTAAATTATGACGTTTTTTATCATGAAATTCGATTGTTCTGAGCACAATTATTATAGAGTTTAGGAGTTTGTATTGTGGAAGAGACGTAAAAAAGAATAAATAGTCTTTTAAACCATTTTCTGGATACTCATACTTTTGACCTTTTCCGCTGTTGATTCTTCGTACTGAGTCAATCAGTCTTCATTGTCATATAGTCTCTTTGTATAGATATCATTCTGGGAAAATCCATACTTATTGGTATGTAGGCACATGCAGCTAATGAGCACTGGCAAAGATGAAATGTAAGTGATGAATTTCACCGAGACGAACTATCATATATTTTCAGTTTGGAGGGTTGTGGGGGTTTATTGATTGATTTCAGGTTGATCATCATCAGGAACTGATATCACTTAGGGAAACATTGAATACCTGAGAGCGCTGGGAAACTATTTTGTCCGAATACGGAACTCTTCAGTAGTGCGAATCCATGATCTAGCCAAGCACTGAACCCTTGGACTTTCAAATTACGCAGCCAGCACGTTACCCTCTGGTTACTGGGTCGAAATCCAATGGTCCACACTTTCTTACTTCTGTCAATTCACGATGCAGAGCGATCTCCTTTCATTTCCTTCGTTTAGTAACTATCCTCACTTTCGACTAGGTTGACCCCACCGCTACTGACTTCTTGTTAGGTCTTTTGGGGTCACATCTTGAAACAAGTCTCCAATGAGCACTAGAACAATTAAATCTGGAGGTTCGTGAATGATTTATTTATTGGTTTCAGGTCGTAGGTTCGTTTCCTGACCAGTCATGGGTGTGGACTGTCGAAGAGTTCCATGCTAGGACGATACGGTTTTCTACCGCTCCCAGTTTTCGATGTTTATCCGACCGATCTCAGCCTATAATGAATACCGACCTGATATCATATATTTAACCGAAACTCTGCGTTAATGATCAGTATGATCTCGAGAAATTTGAAGAAAATTTCATTAGTATGCTACTTACACTCGAAACCCTTGGTGATTCTGTATCACTCAATTATTAGATGATTCATCTACTGAAACCATCATCTATTTCCTTGACATAATCGACTTATAGATAGTGAAGTTCAGTCAGAAACTTCATCATCAAGATGTACCGGTAACTTGGAGGGAATCGATACTTCTTCACAGGTAAGAATCTATGTTGATAAATGCTTCAGTCAAAGACAGTAGAACTAAGCTTTTCAGATGGATCACTGAAAGAATAACAGTCCCATTGAAGTCTTAAACACTTTTACAGACTTCAAGTTAGTATTCATCGCGGAATGATATGAGTTGGAGAATCACTGAAAACTTGGGGGTACTGGACAGTTGTTTCATCTCAGTGTGAGACGCACCAGCAATACATACCTACAACCCTATCAGGGGCCAAACCCAGGTTTGTCGGCGAGCACGTTACCTTTGAGCTATCGGGTTGTTGTGCATCAATAGAAATCAAATTTATGCCCATCAAGGTTTTCGACTGTTTTTCTTCAACAACCCAGCATCAACCAAAATGCATCATGATTGGAAATGTCCTAGCTTGATGACCACACTGTAGACTTAATCAGTAAAACTAGGTCAACACTTGGGACCATGCAAGATGAAATTAATTGTTCCAAATTGATCAGAGTTCCCCATTTTAAACAAATAGGAACCGGAGGTATGAATGACATATTTTATATCACAAAAAATAATAGTTGATACCCAACACTTCATAATATATAATAAAAGGATGATGTACATATCAGTTAAAGTGGAAAGATGATCAAGTGTAACCGGTGATCCTAGTTAAAAAATGGGGCAGGTAGAGTTCGTTTCTGCTGTGAGGAGCTAATTGATGAATCCATTTGATGCAGCTGGGTAAAAGTTATGTCAAAAGGTTGGCAAGCTATAGACCATCTGATTCACTGAATCAAATGGAACATTCTGTGAAGATGGTTTGATATGTAGGAAAAAACTGTTTTATTTAACCTCATGGTCTATCATCAATTATGAATAGTCTAGATTTATTGTCGAGACATCTGCATAGGAGCACATCTACCAACAGAGGTTGAGTAATTCAGCCTTTTATAGCGACGCGAAATAAAAGGTATCAAAACAACAACTGATACCCGTTTCACAAGAGGTCGCTGTCAAACCTCAATGACCTAGTGAATAACGCTTTGGCATTTGAAGCAATGGGTACTGGGTTCGAGTTGTAGTGGGAACAGCATCACTCACTGGAGTGCAGGCCCATCCATTTGATGACTTCTAGATAAGACAAAACGTGCATCATGGATTCCTCTGCTAGTCACCAAGATGAATATAACAGTTCAGCTTTATTCACGAAAGTCGTTCGAATAAAAAAATCTCAACATTTCGGTTTATCATCTCGCCATCTTCTGTCAAAATATTATCCCAATAAGCGTTATTATTTGAGGTTATCTGTAGGTGATAAGAGACTGTAAAATCAATTCTTTTAGTTCCCACGCTACGTAACTTCCGGAAATATATTTTTACAAATTCAAACTACTAACTAGTAGTATATTTTAATATGCATAACTTTTTAGTGAGAAATTTAAGAAAACTCCTGGTCAAGTGAACTTAGCTGCGTGCAAAAATGACTCATTTTCAACAGTTTAGTTGATGATCAAGATAGCACTTAGTCGCTAGAATCCAACAGCTTTAACTTCATAACTCTTATCCTCACTTCTGGCATGTTTGACCTTGGACATCTTGGTTTGCAAGAGGTCTTTTGGAAATAGGTTATTAATAAAGTAATGGATTATCACTAATCAGTCACTACCTAATAAACTACTAAAATGAATGGCTTGAATTGTAGGATATCAGTGTCTAAATGGAGGCGTGCTCCGAGTTGTCAGTTACTGTCGGTAAAACTGTCAGTGACATACCAATAGACTTCTGAATTCTAAATGAAGAAAGTTTCCTGCAAACAACCTGATCTGATAGGACATATCCATTTGCATAACGAGAAATAATTAACAGGGAACTTTGACCGACCAAGGTTTCGTGCTTGTTTGCTCTCATCAGCAAAAGTATGTAAAACTTCGCGGATACGCTTGCTCTATCTGATATCCGAATCCAAAGAGACTTTATCGATAAGTTATTCTGGTCATAATTAAATATCTTCACTATATTGTTATCATCTTGTCCAATTCAAAAGTCATTTGGTTACAACAAAGCGTAACTACTTCTTTAAGAAGATATATACTACTGAAATGATTTTATTTACTTCAATAAATAAATTCAACTGCTAATCATGTCTCACTTTCACTTCAATCATCAAGTCTTATTCAGATATCATATGAGCGAGTGATCTCCAACTATCCGTTGATTATGACCAAGTCTTCTTAACTCCAATTTAAGTTGAGCCAAGTTAGAAAGACAGAACAACCGATGTTTTGTTAATTAGACTATCTGATATAATCTTGTTTAGTAGACTATTCTT